TTTAACACGCTAGGGCTGCTGTGAGGCATGCCCTGGGGTTTACTTCTGTTTTGGAGATGCCCACACCAGGGTGAGTGCTGACACTTGGTTAGCTTCAGCTGAACCCAAAAAAATGCCTGATTTCAACCAAGATAAATGCACGCTCTGCCACTTGCATGCTTTTGGCCGAATTGCTGCCAGGCAGTGGCTTGTCCCTCCTGTGGAGACTGTGGCCAGGGCAGCCCCACACCTCTGAGATCTCAAACCCCCAAATGCCTCTCCCTCTCTCTGTCACAGCTGCTGCTTCCTACAGGTTTTCGTATTTTTGTCTTTTGTCCTCCTGCACGAGGTCAGCCAGACTGTGCCTTCTTCCTGCCAAGGAGAAGCTGCTGAAGACCCATTACCCGTGTTGTGCAGAGCAGGAGGGATTTGCATTTATCACTGCCCCGTGTGTTTAGACTCTGCTGAAAGTGCTCCTTATCTCTCTCACCCATTGAGCGAGGGATGTAATACCTTGCAAGCCCTTACCAATACCCAGGATACCAACACCGCTGTCTCCAAACAGCCTGTGACATCGCATCCATCACCCTGGCCTCAGCCCTGTGGGAGATCTGCTCAGACCAGCTCTGGGCAGGTGCACATGGATTATGTATCTCTGCTTTGAAGCAGAAGATTTTATTACTTTCTTGATGGTTAGAAAATACACTCTTAGGTCTGTGTGTGCTTTATCCTTCTCTCTTGCTGGGAAGTGTGAAAAACAAGGTCTGAGAGTTTAAGAGCAAAGAACTTTTGTGTGTGTTTAGGTTTGAGGTCAATGTGTGAAAAAGCTGCCTCCAGCTTCTAAAATAAGCTGTGGAGGAGTCACTGGTCTGTGATACACGACTGCCTGAGGAACAAGCATATTTGCACAGGAAAAAGCATGTGCGAATTGATTTGTGCACGTACAAATGGGCATGCTCATGTGTGGACAGACCAGTAGATACCAAACAGACAAAAAATGGAAAACCGCAATACAAATGGACAACAGCATTTTAAAAAATGCAAGCGTTTGTTTTTATGGTGCATTTATAAGAGGCTATTCGTACGTCTGTATCCCTGGTGGGCTAGTGCAAAAGCAAAGTGAGATCTGCAAGGAGAAGTAACACGTTTTATCAGACCAGCTGATAACAACCTGAAAAAACAGGTATATTGGGACACACAAACCCTTCCTCAGGCCGGAGCAGAGGTTTCTGTTCAGATCCGACAAAAAATCCATGTATCCATTAAACTTGTCTGGTTTCCGTGACTTTCAGTGGTTACAGTTGCTGTCAGGATGCAGGATGTGGCCGTCAGGAACAGCTGGGAGCTGGCAAGGGACCCCGCACCCCCGAGGATGCCCGCATGCCATGCCCTGCGCTCCCCTGCCGCAAAGCTCACTCCCGCAGCCAGCAGCTCCCTGCCAAGGGCCTCTCTGATGCCCAGTCTGAAACCAGGGCTGCCTGGAACAACTTTTCCATGGAAAATGTGGATTTGTGGGGTCAGACACGCTCTGTGGGGATATAGCCGGGATATCAATGGTCTCCAGTGGATTTCTTGGTCCCCAGTTTCCTCCTGGTGCTCGGACCCATGCTCTGGAGCTGCCCAGTTTCCCCAGTTTGCCCAGTTTACCAGGATGGAAGTGGTCCAGAAGGGTTGGGAGCTTGAGGGTCTCACAAAGTTGGTGGCACTTCCCTTCCTTGGACATTAGCCAGCCTGCTAAGTAGGGTGCATTTGGAGGATCCTGAATTGGAGGATGCTTATATTAGAGTGGGTGCTTAACTCAGGGGTGTTCAGCCCTTTGGGTTTTCCCACTTATCAACTGGTGCACCTCCAGTGACCTCCACAGTCTCAAAATAAGTTTGAAAAGGTTGAAATAAATTGTTTGGACTTCTAGGAGGAAAAAAAATTGTAACTTCTGTTTTGTACCACATTTTTGTTCCACACTGGAATGAGATTTTTTGGGGTGGTTGCTGAAATTTGGGAACGTCCTGTAAACTCACCGTTCCTCAACTCGTTCCTTCCAGAGCCCTTCCTCAGGAGCAACTCTGCAGCCTCCTCTGGGCACACTGCCAAACGGAGGGGATGCTTTCACAGGAGCGCAGAAGAAAGGTGCAGAGGGGCTGTTCAATTCTCTCCTATCTCTATATTTGTACCAAGAGAAGTTAAAAAAAGAAATGCTTCCATACCTACAGTTGCACTAAATATAACCATCTAGCTGGTTCTATATATACATTTTTAAAAGCATGACATGCAATACTCACAAAGAGATGAGACTGGAGAATAAATTAAGATGCCAGAGAGTCAGAGCTGTCAGTCACTCCATGCATGGTAAACCACTGATTGATTTGGTCCTAGAGAATGGTTGACTTTTCTCTTTGTCTTCCTCTGACATAACAAACTTACTGTATTTTCTGGTTTACAAAAAACCACTCTAAAAATAAAAATAACTTGTATCATCTGAAATCCCAGGGATTACTAAGAATATGGTATAGAGGAGATTTTGGTTCATCTAGGGTTAAAACCTCCAGCCAGCAGCGCCAGTGATATCAGTCACTAATAGTAACCTTGCGTAGCTGCATGCATTAAGGTGGTATTGGATGATAAGGCTGAAGAGCGAAGCAATCTGTTGGGCTACAGCTGAAAATAGTCACTGCTGCAGAGGGAAAAACTTCATTCCCTCCCTGGCTCTTTCTTCGGAAATGAAAATGCAGGGAGTCGTGCTGATGGAGGGAAAATCTGATTTCCCACTGCTAAGAGACAGGGTGGCACTCGTGAGAAGGATTTCAAGGTCATGGTGGCGATGCTATCAGTGGTGAGGGGGGAGCCAAGCAGACAACAGGTGAAGGCGTTACAGAGGCGGCGGTGCGCTGCCAAGGGAGATCATCCGATAGCTGTGGCAAGCTGCCTGCTGGGGGGCACCTTCAGCCCTTGTTTCCCACGTGGATGCATGGGAACCTGGCCATCAAGGTGACAATCGGGAGGGGTGAGAACTAAAGGAGCCTCGGCTAATGTGCCTGTAGATAACTGGGGTGTTCGTGGTCATGCCGTACGAAAGGACTCCTCCGATCACTTCTTTAGGTCTTTCCCCTTTGTCTCTGGGTACCTCCCCGCCTGTATTTGCACGCTGACATATAGGAACAACACAAGCTAGTGTAATCTAGATAGTATATGCAACAGTATGGCTCTGAAGTATGGGCCATCATCACACCCGGGTAGTTGCACCCCGCGATGGGCACAGTCCCCGCCTGCACGGCGCAGGGGCTGAGCGATGGTGGCTGCAGCCATCCACCATCACATCCACTAGGCGGTCCTCAGGCATCTTCTTCCCCCTGCCGCACACTGTCCCAGTAAACCTCCTCCTGCTGCGGGCGGGTCCTGAGACATCAGCAGTGCAGAGTCAGTCTGGGAACAAATTCATGTTTCCTTTAATCACACGGATTCAAAAGCAAATAAATGAAATGCCTGGGAATCGGAAGGCTCGACGAACACCAAATGAACTCTGGTGGTGTCTTAAAGACCGTGCAGTCTCAAAACTGCAGCTCTGTCAGTAAAAGGCAGGGATTTGAAGGCAGGACCCTGTATTTCCATTGATACCTTATTCCTCCAGTTGTGTTCCAACAACAACTCCTATCTTGGGCAAAGCACTTACCAGCTTGGCACCTCTGTTTACTCCTCTTCATGTGACAAAGAGAAATCCTAAACCACTTCACAGGCTTGCATAACTAATATTTACATGGGCCTTGGAGATCCCTGGCTGGGAGGTACTACATCAAAAGGGACATCTACATCAAAGGTGCAGCTATACACAGAGCTGGTTCAGGGAGTACAATAACTGGCTTTTGCAAAGAAGCTACTTGAACTGAGGGCAGCTGCGTGAGCAAAGGTTGTATAACCCGGTCAGGGTATGTTCCAAGGTGATACTCAGACCTTACTTAACTAAGGCCTTTCTAGGGGGCAATGGAAATTTCAGCTTGTTAAAATCTGGTACAAGGCATTCAGGAACTCATGAGTTGGATCTGGACCACCTTCCCTAAGTTATCTGATTCGTGCAGAGAATCAAAAAACGCCTCTTAGCATGGCAACAAGCACTCTGACCTACTGCTTGTTTTTTCGCCAGTCTTTTTTCTCCTCGTATGCTTTTGCTCTCCAAACTCCAGAGCTGATCTGGACACTTGAAAGCCTGCAGTCAAGGGTTTCTCTGATTATGCCAACACTCAGCAATCCCACTGACAGAAATACTTACAGATCCTTGGTGCTCTTTTGCAATTAGGGAACAAGTATATTCTCGCAGTTTAAGCACTGGGGAGGTATGTGGGAGATCTGGATTAAACACTAGCTTTGACAAAACCTGCTTGCAGAAACTTCCATAATGCTGAATCTTTCTGTAAGTACTTGTACTCCTGAATACCACATGGCTCCTATTCCCTACTCACAGTGAATTTGCCTGTGATACCTATATAAACCTTTTTTGGTGGTACTGGCTACCTGACCAGCTCTGTGCCCTGTATTCTTAGCTATGTCTCTTACAGCTATCATGACGCACCTCTTAAATGCGGATTGTGCTTTCTCTCTCACAGAGCATACAGTGCAGTCCTGAGTATCACCTGGAAATTCTGTGCATGATTTTTGGACCGATAATAAGACTGCCATACTTTTTGTCATACCCATGGGACTAAGAAGCTACGGGAACCTAAGTAATCTTACAATGCAAGTGAGAAGGGAGCTAGGACTCACCTTATATGACATTTTGTTTTGTTGGGATTTTTTCCCTAGTGTTTTTCTCTGTTTCTCAGTTTTCCATTGCCCCTCACTGTGAAACTGAGGACTGCCAAGGGCTGACACCAAGATGTTTGCCTGGCTGCTGATTTGTAGCTTTAAATAAGAAAGAAAGTGAAGCCAACTTTTAAGGCCATGCAGGGCTGGCGCTGTTCCAGCAGGGATCAGCGGGAATGCAAAAGCGCTGCTTACCCCACGCTGGCCTCAAGCACTGGGGAGCTGAGCAAATAGCTGCCATCGCTGCGTGCCATAGCTGCACCCTACAGACCTGAAACAGCCTGTCTAGCGAGGTGGGTAACAAGTCCTCTGAGCCGGAGAGTGAAACTGAACTGAAAAAATGCAACCAAACCAAAGACGGCTGCAAAAAACCTGCTGTCCTGCCTTCTTTTGCCCGTTTTCTGGGGTAAGTTCCTGAAGGCCATAACCTGAGTGGGGGGACCCCAGTGCAACTTCACTGGGACAATAGCAGTGCACTGGCTGCTGCCACTGCTTGTGTGCACGAGGGTCTGGGGGGAAGAAAAGGCTATGCTCGTGTAG